ATTTGGAAAATAAAAATCCAAACCTCTTATCTTAATTTATAAGATATTCCACTTTTCTTGTTCCCCATAGAAACATCATTATATCCTGCCCAGGTTTCTTGAGCAACACTGGCCTGTTCATTGTTTCTCCAATACACTTGAGTTTTTCCCATCTTAAAAGCCTTTCTTTGCCATCCCTAGAGACAGGACTTCTGAAAGCGGGATTCTTCCGTCTCACACTACTTGGCCGTCTGTCATGGAGACTCATTGCCATTGTCAGTTTCACAGAAAATAAAACAAACAAACAAAGATCTTGATTATTTTCTGTAAGGTAGCCATAATTTTTCCTGGGTCCTTCCTAAAGGCAGTTTTTATCACATCAACATTGGGGTGGAAGCTATGGGAGTGATGTCAATATAATACTTATCAGTATTTGAAATTACCATGCATGCTCATTTATTTTTACAAGATCTATTTCCTCATTACCCTTTGAAACCAAACAACAGTAGAGAACTTATTTATCATAATCACCACTACATTCTTAGTGAATGGCCAGTGCTTGACACAATATCTGTTGAAGTAAGAAATGGCATGCTTCAAATCCTGGGAAAATCCATGACAATTAACACAGGGCCCTCCCTATATTCTTGGTAGCTTTCAGGAGTGAGCAGAACCCCAACAATTCCACAGCTCATCCTCCTTCTTTCCCTGATGAGAGTCCCTATACTGTTGTTTAACATTATACTAAAAGGATTAAAGCATTCATCTTCGGGGTATGTAGGTCAGGTGTGACTTCAGGGATGTCTATGGAGCCAAAGAAGAAGCAATCATTTTCATTTAAAATTAATTTTATGTAACATCTAAATGACTGATATTATCTCTACCAAGTATGACAAAAGGGAAATGACCAAAGTTTAGGAAAACTGAAGACCTGAATGATGGAATGAAGTAAATATTGAGAGGAGAAACATAAGAGGACTGTGAATTTAGTGACACAGAAGACAAATGTTGTTGACTTGCTTTGATTAACCCTATTGTCTTATAACTTGGTAGAGACAAAAATATGAGCCAAGTCTGGAGTATTTTTATCATTCCTGACTGAAAATACAGGCAGCTATGTTTTAGATGATTTATGAATATTTTTTAACACAGATTGTGTAAAGGGTTTCAGTCTCAGTGGAATAAAGTGCACTTGACAGCAGAGTTATAACTAGGAGGACTGGTAAGAACAGTTATGGAGATTAAAGAATGTGTCCTAGATTTATAAGAGTGTATAACAAATCATTCAGTCTTATAATTACCTTAGAGAATTGGTAGAGAAAAGAAAATAACTTGTTAAACTGTAAAGCATGCTATCTTCTCTCAGTGTTACTTATGAGGGTGTTTTTTTTTTTTTAATGCTGTGTGGGCACTGGAAAAAATGGCATTATTGAAATTGTGTATGTTGGAATATTGACATTTTAGAAGATTTGCCACATATCAAAATGTCTACAAAGAGTTTATGGTAGACACTGACTAGGGGGAGCGTACATCTTGTTTAGTTGAATTCTTGTTTATGTAATGCAGAATTCTTTATATACCTATTACATACTATTTGTAGATGTGTATATACAATATTTATATTTCAGTGTTTTTATTTTTGAATATTTTGTTTTTATTGGAAATGATAATATCCTGCTCCTGGACTCATTCAAATTTTTGTAAAACAACATTATTAACTTGGTAGTTAAAGTGCTTGTTTTTTCCTGCAAATTGTTGTAGCCGCTCTGTTATTATATATTCAGACTCCTGAATGCTGCAGTTGTCAGAATATAAATGTACACTCAATAAGACTGGGGATATTTAAGAATCAACATTATTTACTCACTTATTCAACAAAGTTGTGCTTATTGAACATCATTGAAAAAGCAAGAGAGTTCTGGAAAAACATCTATATCTGTTTTATTGACTATGCCAAAGCCTTTGACTGTGGATCACAATAAACTGTCGAACGTTCTGAAAGAGATAGGAATACCAGACCATCTGACCTGCCTCTTGAGAAACCTGTATGCAGGTCAGGAAGCAAAAGTTAGAACTGGACATGGAACAAGAGACTGTTTCCAAATCAGGAAAGGAGTACATCAAGGCTATGTATTGTCATCCTGCTTATTTAACTTATATGCAGAGTACATCATGAGAAACGCTGGGCTGGAAGGAGCACAAGCTGGAATCAAGATTGAATCAGTCCTGGGTGTTCACTGGAAGAACTGATGCTGAAGCTGAAACTCCAATACTTTGGCCACCTCATGAGAAGAGCTGACCCATTGGAAAAGACCCTGATGCTTGGAAAGATTGAGGGCAGGAGGAAGAGGGGATGACAGAGGATGCTTAGATGGCATCAACAACTCAACGGACATGAGTTTGGATGAATTCCGGGAGTTAGTGATGGACAGGGAGGCCTGGCATGCTGCAGTTCATGGGGTTGCAAAAAGTCAGACACAACTGAGCAACTGTACTGAACTGAACTGATTCTGACCCAGATAATCACTATGGGGATATCACTCACCTATAGCTAGACATTCTGGAGTATGAAGTCAACTGGGTCTTAGGAAGCTTCACCATGAACAAAGCTAGTGGAGGTGATGGAATTCCAGCTAAGCTATTTCAAGTCCTATAAGATGATGCTGTTAAAGTGCTGTACTCAATATGCCACCAAATTTGGAAGACTCAGCAGTGACCACAGGACTAGAAAAGGTCATTTTTCATCCCAATCCCAGAGAAACACAAGGCCAAAGAATGTTCAGAGTACCACACAATTGCACTCATCTCACATGCTAGCAAAGTAATGCTCAAACTTCTCCAAGCAAGGCTTCAACAGTATGTGAACTGAGAACTTTCAAACTGGATTTAGAAAAGGCTGAGGAACTAGAGATCAAGTTGCCAGTATCTGTTGTATCAAAGAAAAAGCAAGAGAATGCCAGGAAAATATCTATTTCTGCTTCATTGACTACGGCTAAGCTTTTGACTGTGTGGATCACAACAAACTGTGGAAAATTCTTCAAGAGAGGGGAACACCAGACCACCTTACCTGCCTCCTGAGAAATCTGTATGCAGATCAAGAAGCAACAGTTAGAACCAGATATTGGAACAAGGGACTGGTTCCAAATTGGGAAAGGATTACATCAAGCCTGCATATTGTCACCCTGCTTATTTAACTTATATGCAGAGTACATCATGCGAAATGCTGGATTGGATAAAACACAAGCTGGAATAAGAATGCAGGGTGAAATATCAGCAACCTCAGATATGCAGATGACACCAAACTTAAAGGAAAAAAAGAAGCGAAGAGGAACTAAAGAGCCTCTTGATGAAACTGAAAGAGGAGAGCAAAAAAAAGTATCTTAAAACTAAACATTCAAAAAATGAAGACCATGGCATCTGGTTCCATCACTTCATGGCAAATAGATGGGAAACAATGAAAACAGTGAGAGACTTTTTTTTCTTGGGCTCCAAAATCACTGCAGATGGTGACTGCTGTCATGAAACTAGAAGACGCTTGCTCCTTGGAAGAAAAGCTATAATAAACTTAGACAGCATATTAAAAAGCAGAGACATTACTTTACAGACAGGTCTGTCTATTCAAAGCTATGGTTTTTCTAGTAGTCAAGTATGGATATGAGAAGTGGACTAAAAAGAAAGCTGAGCACCAAAGAATTGATGCTTTTGAACCGTGGTGTTGGAGAAGACTTTTGAGAGTCCCTTGGGCAGTAAGGAGATCAAACCAGTCAATCCTAAAGGAAATCAATCTTTAATATTCATTGGAAGGACTGATGCTGAAGCTTCAATACTTTGGCCACCTGATGCAAAAAGCTGACTCACTGGAAAAGACCCTGATGATGAGAAAGACTGAAGGCAGGAGGAAAAAGGGACAACAGAATATGAGATGGTTGGATGGCATCACTGACTTGATGCACATGAGTTTGAGCAAGCTCCGGGGGTTGGTGATGGACAGGGAAGCCTGGAATGCTGCAGTCCATAGACTCACAAAGAGTTGGACACGACAGAGCAAATGAACTGAACTGATTATGTGGGGAGACTAGACAAGTGACTGTGAAAAATATAAGAAGACAAATATCTTTGGAAAAAGTACTCCAGATTGTTTTTTGATATAGATAATATACTTTCACAAATCAATAAATCATAAAAAATGAAAACACTGTGTGTGATTAAACTGCATGCTTTAAATGGTTGGATTTTATGGTATATGGATTAATATACCATATTAATAGTTACAGAATTATACTGCTCAAAATGAATTCTTCAAAGGCTAGTACTGACTGGTAGGCATGGGTACAACTAGAATGTTCTTTAATATTGACCTCTATTCTGTTTTGGTTGGCCTCTGTTCTGATTGGTTGGTGTAGATGGTTCACTAGTAATTAAGCCCTTGATATCACCCTACTTGCAAGGAAAGGTTTCAAGTAGACAAATATCCTTGAAAGATGGACAAAATATGGAAAAATGAGCTATGACCAAGGAAAATCCAAATGGAAGAAATTTGAAAGTAGTAGCCTACTGGGATAAATGTTTAGGAAACAGATTCTCAGAGCATGGAAAAGGTATCACTTTGTATGAGAATACTGGAGAAGCTTATTAAAAATGCCACTTTCCTAGCTCACCTAAAATCTAGGAAATCTGATTTCCTGTGGGTGAACTAAGCAAGTTTCTTTTTAATAAGAACTCTCAAATAATTTTTTTAAGGATTGAAATGATAAGTTGGAGAGCCATTAGTTTAGCTGATGCATTTACTACTTAGCCAAGTTTAAATGAAGAAATTATTGAAACAGAATATTAACTATCAAAACTAGACAGAGAGGTTTGTTTCAACTTTGTAGATGGTGGTAAAGCAGTTTACAAACAGCTGGGCAAATACAGAGGTTTGCTTAATTTAGTTAAATCATTTGGAATTTCCTAATCATTAGGAAATTGTTAGAAAATTAAAAATCATTATTTAGAAAAGACTGACGTATACTTTTTTCTAGTTTCTCCTGAGGATAAAGAGAACTGGAAATTGCATCACCTCCACACTTCACATGAAAAAAGTTGAACAGACTACAACTTCATTAATTATTTTGCGCCTGTCAGAGGGTGGGGATCACAGTGCAGTATACAAAGGTAAACCAACACAAGAATTTTCCCTACCCCAACCCAACAACCATCAGCAGCCTAGCAAGCATCAAGTAACAAGTAAAGTGAATACTCTCAGCAGAGTTTAAGAGCATAAACGCAGACCAAACCTAAGGCACAGTGAAAAGGGATCACTTAAAGTTAAGGGTAGAACAAATATTAAGAAAAACTGTCTCGAATCTGCTTCCACTTTAAGCAAATGGTTGTCCTAGAGGAATACGAAGAAAATGGTTCTATGAGGTTGATTGATTGTAGCAACAAAAAATCACAAACCCACTCCATCTCTACATTAAGTCAAATTCTCATGCTAAAGGCATATCAGATGTAAAATGATGTATATTTCCATGCACACTAAGATAAATAAATAAAACAAAAAGCCCTATTTACTCCATCTTTATTATTTTCTGATGAAAGCCTTTCCTTCCTCCAAAAAGTTACTAGACATGTAAGAGAGAAGAAAAATATGACATATTTCTAAGAGAATAGAGAGAAGAAAACTGTAAGAAAGAATCAAACAAAAATTTGAGAATTTCTTTAAAGAAAAAAAAAAAAAACAGCAAAACTAAGATTATTTTCTATGAACTCTGTAGTTGATTCCAGGCAGCTGAATGAACAGTCAGTGCACTTGAGGACAGAAACTTAATATAAAATCATAAAGAGAACTATAAACAAACAAAACTAACCAGAGACTCCAAGAGCATGGTATAGTCAAGACCCACAATCTCAGGTAGGTGAACCACAAATGGGAGGAGAATCACAATGGCAGAGGTTCTCGCTGAGGACTGAGGGTTCAAACTCCATGACAGGCTCCCCAGCCCAGGGGTTCTACACTGGGAAGATGAGGCACCAGAACATCTGGCTTTGAAGACCAGTAAGACTGGCAACCTACTCCAGTATTCTTGCCTGGAAAATCCCATGGATGGAGAAGCCTGGTAGGCTACAGTCCATGGGGTTGCAAAGAGTTGGACACAACTGAGCAACTTCACATACCATACATACAAGACTTACATATGGGAGAACTAGAGGACTGCAAGAAAAAGAGACTCTGCTCTTAAAGTGCACATGCAAAATCTCATATACTCTGAGATCAATTCATTTGAAAACAGCTTGGGTCAAACCCACTTGCTGATCTTGAAGTGCCCATTGGTGAGGCAGGGGACAACTGAATTCCCCCTGGAACACAGATGCTGGTGACAGCCCTTTTGGAGAGTTTGTTCTACCAGGATGATATTAGTATTGGCTAGCTCCATCTTGGAATCTCCCCTCTATCCTATTAGCACTGGGATTTGCCTGCATCTAGCTGATTGACACCAGTCCTAGAACTCACCAACCCAACTAGCCAGTCATGCAAGGGCCCAGTTTGCTAGCATCATGAATGAAACAGTGGCTATCACTACAGACCCCACAGACATTACAAGAATAGTAAGGAAATACTGTGAATACTATGAACATACACTAAACACCTAGATGAAAGAGGCTAATCCTAGAAAGATAAAAGCTACTAAAAGTCACTCAAGAAATATCAGATAGCATGAATTATATTTGTTAAGAAAATTGAAATCACAGTAAAGAAAAATTCGTAAAAGAGCCTAAATGGTTTTACTGATAAATTTTACTACATATTTAAAACAAAGAATTCCAAAGGAAAAGAACTTTTTTTCTCAACTTATTATATCAGGATGAAATTATCAGAATGCCAAAGTCAGATAATGATAATACAAGAAAAGAAAACCACAAATCAATACTTTGCATGAACATAAGCACTAAAATTCTCAAAAAAAGCTAGCAGCATAGCATATTCAACAATATATCAAAATCAAATACATTTATCTGAGGAAATTCAAAGCTGGTTTAATATTCAAAATAGGTTAATATAATTCACCAAATTAAAAGTCTAGAGAACAAATAAAATGTAAAATCATATTAATAGATGTGAAAAATGCTTTAATAAAATTTAAAACCTGTGATTTTTTTAAAAAACTGTGTATTCCAAGAATATAATATTTGTAGGATACAGCTGTTTTACAGCTGGACTGAGTCAGCTCTATGTTTATCTTCAGACATGCCTGGATATCTGACCCGATTCTTGGCTAAGGTAAAGTTCATGGGTCCTCTAAACAATTACCTAGTGATTTATGAGGTGCTGTTTAAAGGTTGAAACTCCCCTGGCATCACCCAGAGCCAGTGTGTTTGTTCATGGCTTTTCACTTGCATAATCCTTTAGACAACCTGACTTGGTCACATGGCCATTAGAGACTCTATTGGGAAACTCTACCTGAGCTCCCCTGAGGCCAAGATCCATTGCACAAATTTGGGTTATTTAGTCTGGAGGCAAATTGTTTCTTGGTGAATAAGAAGGACCCTGTGGAACTACACCTGATGCCTCTGTAACCCTGGATGCATGCTTGCATTCTCTTTCTCTTGCTATAACCTATAGTCTGTCTTTTTTAACCAAAAGCCTTACCTGAGTATAGATACAGAATAGGTATAGTATAGTATTAAATACTAATAATATTATGTGTAAAATACCAAAACATAGTTTTTATAGGCAAATCTTCTTTAGCCTCATAATGGACATTCACAAAATCTCTAACATCATACTTAATGGTGACAGACTGAATTCCGTTAAGACTGAGAACAAGACAAAAGTGTGCTCTTATCAATCCCATCCAACATTCTATTGGAATTCCTAACCAGTGCAGTTAGGCAAGGAAAAAATTGATGCATATGGAAAGTAAGAAAACTACCTTTGTTTGGCAGACAGACAAATGTGATTGACATCTGTAGAAAATCTCAAAGTACAAGAAAGCCCCAAGAAATAATTAATGAGTGTAGCAAGGTTGTAGGACGTAAGATTTTAGGATATAAAGTCGACACAGCACAACAATTTTGGAAAATAGTGTTTTGGCTGCATACTGTATGGAAAAAAACATAAATGTTATAACAGACAAATACTACTCTCTGGTTAATAAACTTGTTTTAGCAATTCCATAATTATTTTATATCTGCATAAGGGTTGAAAAAAATAAGTAAAAGTATCAGTGATATTGAGATACAAATTTGTCATTTTCAGAGAAAGAAATTACAAGTAAGGAATCTTGAAGACTACAATAAACCCTGTTGAGTTCATTGGAGGTTTAATTGGAGTATAAGTAATAAGACATTCTTTAAATATACAAATAAGTATATGGACAGCATACATATAGATACAGAAGTAAATTCTAGTCCTGTATGGTGAGAAAGCCAAGTAGCAATGATATCATGATATCAATGAAATGGTGCCCAGGTCTTATTTGTAAAAACCAATTTCCAATATAAGAAACTAGGAATCTTTAGAGAAGTCATTATTTTCAGGGGTGAAATAAGAAAAACTAAAAGAAGAGCCTTCTTGTATTCTTAAAAGAGGCTTCTTGTATTCTTAAAAGTCAAACAGAACTCTTAAAATATTGGGAACATTGTTAAAAAGGCATAAGAACCATCCTGGAAGGCATTGCCCATGGCCAAATTTCTGATAATTTTAGCACCAAACTAAATAATGATACTATTGAATTACAGCTATACAATAATTATAATGAATGAATATCTATGAGTCAATAGTAATATAGAAAAAATAAAAGTAAATAGATTAAGTGGGAGAAGGGGCAACTCTTTCTTATAGAAAAGTCCAGTTAATGAATGTAAATGGAATGAGGGAAAAACAAAATCACTCTTAGAGAATCACAGTAATAACTGTTGCAGGCATGAAACATTTATGGATGCTACATTTTATGGATTAAAATTTAGTTAGGACAAGTATATTTGCACAGTATATATTTGCACACTCTTCCTTCAAATAATTATTTACTGCAAAAGGAAGCATTAACTTTATAGTGGGGAACCCTGGAANTGAAACATTTATGGATGCTACATTTTATGGATTAAAATTTAGTTAGGACAAGTATATTTGCACAGTATATATTTGCACACTCTTCCTTCAAATAATTATTTACTGCAAAAGGAAGCATTAACTTTATAGTGGAGAACCCTGGAAAATGCTTTTTTAACCATTTGATTGAAGTTAACCTCACCATTGATAAGACATGGTTATATCACTTAACTTTTGATGGTGCAATGAGAGGGGATATCTCCTCTGCAGTATCGTTGCCTATGTATAAACTGAATGAAATTATAAGGTGATCTCAAAAAGCCAACAGAGGGACATTATCTAAAAATATTGATCAATAATCTTCAAAAGTGTCACGCTCCTGAAAGTACAGAGAAGACAGAGGAACTATCACAGATAGGAGAAAAGTGAGGAGGTGTGAAGCCAAATGCAATGCAAACTAAATGCATAGGGTGTTTGGAAAACAAACCAAAAGATATTAGTGGAAAAACTAGTGAAATAAAATAGAATCAGTATTCTAGTCAATAATATTTTATTAACATTGTCTCCTTAGTTTGACACTCAGATTATGTTGTGGAAGCTATGCCAAGCTTATATAAGCATTCTCTGCAATGTTTTCCAGCTTACATTTAAAATTATTACAAAATAAAAATGGTAAAGAAAGAAGTCTAACAATCCTGGAAGCAGATATTGGGTGTTAAAGTGGTAATTATTATTTTACAAATAAAAGCATAAAATCAAACATAACCCCAAAACTTGTATAAAGCCACAGATTGAGAAAATTGACTGTTTCTACATGTTCTTACCAGTCCGAATATATGTGCACATATGTGTGTGTATGAAAGTCTGGTTTATGTACTATACTTACGTGCATATTGGTTCTTGTATGTATACTAATGACTCAGCTCAGAATTGAAGCAAATAGGAAGCCAGATTTTCAGCTAGAATAAAGACATGTGACAGCATCAGGATGTGCTCCTATCTTTTGTCTCTGATTCATTCTGGAAAATGGTGAGACTTTAACAAAGTAGCCAATGTCACATCTGTGCAAAGATGGCTTCTGATAGAACTTGGCTCATACTGCATCAGAGCTATGTGTGTAGACTGGGAGAGGAGCAATTCCGCAAAAGAAAGCTGCAAGTCCTGCAAGAAAGATAGCATATGGGACAGACAAAATCATTCATATC